TATTTGGCAACCTGGAGTGGCAGATTATAATGCTTACAGAAAAGGTTAACATTTTTTATGTGAAGTTAAATAAATTTACAAAGAATTTTAATTTGCAACATAAATGTTATGAAATGGTATAGAGTTTCCTGCCTGAGCAGGGGATTGGACTAAATGATGTCCAAGGTCCCTTCCAACTTTATAATCAGGGGAAGGAAATCATTCCTTTTGTTTTGGGGGCACATATGGATACTTACAAAGTGCCTTTTAATATGTTAGTGTTCAGCCAGGCAACAAAGTTCTTTTTATTTGTTACATGTTACATACATTTTTGTTACATTATATCCTGGTCAGAACCTCAGAAACCTTTTCATAAATAGGCATTATGAAAGGCAACTTATTCATGAGGGTTGGTGGTCTCTGACCTTGGTTGTTTTCTTGAAGATGTTTCATTACCCAAACTAGGTAACATCATCAGTGCTAGTAAGGAGTGGGGTTTGCTCTCAGTTTATATTCTAGTGGCATGCCTTGTCTTATTAATGTTAGAACTGAGATGTCTACCTTTGGCAGCGAGGCATCCTTAATTTCCCTGGTTTGTTGGATTTAAAACTAACAGTTTTTCCTGTCCTGTAGCTTTTGAGCTAAAAAAAGTAGCTACTTAAAATGAATAATTAAACAATGTACATTGGGGAGGAAGGGAGGGGTATATAAAAGTATCCAGTGTTCAACAGAATATACATTTCAAGAAACATATAGGGTTTTTATTTTTTTCACAAATGTACATGTGTTGCAGGAATGTAAATTCAGAAGACTGAAGTGTCATTGAATTTGGTAAATCAAAGACATATTTTTAGGTCATGATTCAGTTACGATCCAATCTAGGGTATATTATGATTATCTAGGGAATATAACAGTTTTCTTGTAATCTTGAGTTGGTCTGTTTTAGTAGGTAGGTAAGTAAAAGGCAGGCAAGCATCCTATAGATTTTCCCCCCCTAATGATCGATGTATGTACCTACATTAATAGAAAACAGAAAAATTAATAGATATAGGCCTTTTAAAAACCTTTTTAAACAGATAGTTTAGGAGGAAGTGACAATGCAGAGGTCATTGTGGCTTGAAAAACATTTGTCAGTTTAGTTGAATGGCTACCCCTTCCCCACACCAAGTTCAGTCCTTATTGATTTTACCCCGCAACCCCCCAAACAGCATTATTTCTGGAATTAAAATTTTAAGAGCCCAAAGGGATAATGAATTTTTCCAGGCCAAATCCTTTATGCATCTAAACTTTTACTGAAAAAGAAAGTTAATGGAAAAATGGAATTTGCTTTGAATTGCTTTCCATCTGATAGAATTTTAAAAGTATTTTTCTTGGAAGTTAATTCATATGCAGGAAAGGGGGGAAATTGCTGTAAGAGCTTTCAGTCCTCAGTTTTGAGTCATTCCAGAGCATCCATCCGAAGAAAAGATCTATCTGTAAAAAAAATATTTTTTTTTTACAATACAATGAAAAAGTTGATTACTAAGGCCTAAGGCAATAACTTTCCTAGAGAAAATCTCTTGAAGTCACCAAGAGTCAATACCAATATGATAGCACATAATCAAAGTCAATAACCTTAGTAGTCTAGATATTTTCTTTAAAATAATAGGCCAGATTCTTACTGAAACCTAAACCTTGCTTTCGGTAATATCTGCTCTATTATGAGAGGAGGAAGAAGTCATGCACATTGCATCCACATATAGAAGAAGTCCCCAACCTTTTGGGCACCAGGGACCAGTTCCGTGGATAAAGATTTTTCCACGGACCAGAGAGTGTGTGGTTGTGTCTGCTGCCTGCATACCACAGATGATGACTTGTAAGGTTATTAAGACCTTTTGGATACAATTGTGGTGGAACCTACAGCAAATTTTTAAAAAAAGGATTATTTTTCTCCCACAGCTGTTTCTCTTAGGTATTGTGCAAGATTTAGATGCAAAAGAAATAAATTTGATGCTTTATTGTATAACTGCAGCTCGTTTGCTGATAGCCCAAAATTGGAAGAGCCCAATTCTGCCTATAATGGAAGACTGGAGATTGAAAGTTTCGTACCTTGCATACCACAGATGGGGCTTTGCTTGTTTGTGCGGACTGTTGCTGGCCTGCTGCGGCCCGGTACCGCTCCACGGACCGGGGGTTGGGGACCCCTGACCTATAGCATTCAGCTGCCTTTCTTAGGCAGGGTCACTGTGAAGAATATTATGGCTACTTGGTCACTCAGATCCACTCCTAACTGTAGGAGAGCTCTGATCAAGTTACCTGAGACTCAGTGTTGTAGTGTGATCTAGGATTAGTTTGAGCCAGTGATTCCTGAGGAGATGGATAGGTTTCTGTATGCTGTTAGTTCAGCCACCTCTTTATTGGGCCCAGATCCCTCCTGGGTTATTAAGGTCGTCAGGAAGCTAACTAATTGGCCTTGGAGGGGGGGGCATGCTTTTGGTCTTGGAGGGAGTCCTCGAGAGGACCAGTCTTGGACCCAGCTACTGTCCTACCTGCAATCTTCTCTTTTTAGGGAAAGTTATTAAGTTTGTGGTCAGCTTGCAGAGAACCTGGAGGAAGCAAATTATCAAATTCCGTTTCAATTGGGATTCAGCTTTAATAATGCTTACCCATGACCTGTGTAGAATTGGGCTGGAGATGGTGCGTGGGCTTCAATATTTCAGCAACCTTCAGTACTATTGCTCATAGTATTTTTGGGATCAGTGGTGGGAATTGGGTGCAAAATGTTATGGCAGTTCTCTTCATTTCCTGGCTATTTCCAATCAGTGTTAGCAGAGGGGAGAGGTCATCCCTTCAGCTGCCTTATATAGGCTGCCACAGGGTTAATTGCTCACTCCTCTCTAGTAACTTCCACATGAAATTGTTTTGGTGACTGTGATCGTCTGTTTGGGGTTTGATATCAGTACGTTGCTGATGAATTATGTATTTCATCCCTAGGCCGGTCAGGTAAGGGTATTAAGGATCTATCCTAGTGTCTGGAGACTGTGGGCTTGGGTAACCAACTCCATTCAGTCCTATCAGGACTGTGAATATTAGAGCCAAATAGTTTTCACCCATATTCTTGGATGGGGTAGTGCTTCCCCATTAAACATCATGCACAATTTGGGAGTCCTTCTGTAATCCCAGCTCCTGCTTAAAGCTTAAAAGAGCAGCTGTCGCCAAGGGAACTTTTGCACAGTTCTACCTGATACACTGATTGGATCCCTTTCTGGAGTAGCCATTTTATGGCTTGACTGTAGCAGTGTGTTCTAAATAGGGCTGCCCTTGAAAGCCACTTGGAAGCTTCAACTGGTTGAAAATGCAGTTAACATTTGCAGCAACGGGCATGCCTTGTATGTTTATGTGACACCTCTGCTTCATGAATTGTGCTGTTTTCCAGTATGCCTCCAAGTGTGATTTATGCTGTTGGTTATTGCTTGTTAAAGCACTGTGTGTGTGTCCTAAGGCCAAATTATCTGAGGAACTCCCTATCTTCAGTGGTTTCTGTCTGCCTGGTACATGCTGACAGAGTTGGTGCAGTCCAGGCTCCTTCGATTAAATAGTGCAGTGGTTCTCAACCTGTGGGTCGGGACCCCATTTGGGGTCGATCAACCATTTCACGGGGGTCGCCAAGCAAGGCTGTCTGCCATTTTTTTGTCTGCCATTTTTTCCCCCTTTTGCGGTGGGTCCCTTGGGCTGGTCCAGCTGGTGGTCGGCCTGCTCCATCTCTGCCACTTGCCAGCTACGCCTCGGCCGGCGCAGGGGGCAGAACCACGCATGCGCGGCGCTCCCGGGCAGGGAAAGCCCTCGACTTACGACCGGTTGGGTAGTCCTCGACTTACGACTGGTTTAGTCCTCGACTTACGACCGGTTTAGTCCTCGACTTACGACCGGTTGGGGTCGCGGCATTAAAAAGGTTGAGAACCACTGAAATAGTGGCATCTGTTGGAAGCCAGGAAACATACTTTCTCTGTTGTGCCTGCTCTGTAGAATAAAATTCCCCCTGAAATCGGTGGCCGCTACACTGTTAGGGTTCTGTAAGGCCTTGAAAACATTTCCTAAGTCTTGGGTTAAGATGGATAGAGCCCCTTGTGAATGTGCTTTTTTTCTATGCCTTTATATAGAGTGAGGGCATGCAACAGAATAACAGAGTTGGAAGGGGCGTTGGAGGTCTTGTAGTCCAACCCCCTGCTCATGCAGGGAACCCTATATCATTTCAGACAAATGGTTATCCAATCTCTTCTTAAAAACTTCCAGTGTTGGAGCGTTCACAACTTCTGGAGACAGGTTGTTCCACTGGTTAATTGTTCTGTCAGAAAATTTCTCCCTCGTTCTAGGTTGCTTCCCTCCTTGATTAGTTTCCATCCATTACTTCTTGTTCTGCCCTCAGGTGCTTTGGGAAATAGGTTGACCCCCCTTTTCGTTTTGACAGCCACCGAGATATCGGAACCACTACTATTATGTCACTCTTAGTCCTTCTTTTCATTGAACTATAGACATGCCCAGTTCCTGCAACCGTTCTTCAAATGCTTCGGCCTCCAATTCCCTAATCATCTTTGTTGCTCTTCTTTGCATGTCATCTTGTTTCATACTGTTTTTATTGTTTATTATATTGTTTATTATATTGTCAGCTGGCCAGAGTCAGTTTGGAGTTAGCTGGTGCCTAAATTGAAGTAAAATCTATGTTAATGGAACTGGGAATCAATTTTACTTTAGAGCATAATTATGGGAAGTGTCGATCTCTTGTGTTGGACTTGAAAATATCTTGAATACCTCTGGCAATAAAGTGAAGTTCACTGCATTTTTGTTTTTTTGATTACAGAGCAAATAGGAATTTATCAGTGAAATCTGCTGTATAATTTGTGGAAATAAGAAATTATTTGCAGAGATTACAAATGTGCTCGTAAGCATAACCACATAAAACTGAGGCCAAACTTGTGAATAATTTTTTTTTTTAACTTTAAAGAAACTCCAGCCGGAGTTGCTAAAATGATTTTCTTCCACAGGCACAAACTGTTCAGGTAGCTGAAGTGGAACAGCAGCCACAGCCTCAGCCTTCTCCTGAACTTCTCCTTCCGCAGTCTCTCAAGCCAGAGGAAGGACTAGAAGTATGGAAGAGCTGGGCACAGACTAAAAATGCAGAGATGGAAAAAGAATCACAGAACCGGCTTGCACCCATTGGTAGTAAGTGCCTTAGACTTTCCAATTGATCATGTTCTCCGTTGCATTGCATTGATTTTAATAATTTTGATATTTTTTTATAGTACAGTAAACCTTAATTATGTTTGTTAGACTTGCGTTATAAAATGAGCCTTACCACCTTAAAACAAACCTAAATGCTGTTTCAAAAACTATATATTATTTGATGTGCCCCCCCCCAGTTTTTTTTTAACACATGGGTGTATTTTTGGGTGAGGGCCATACTGGGTGTTTTAGGTAAGGTACAGGTAGTTCTTGACTTACAACTATTCATTGTGTGACCAGTTGAATATACAACAGAAGTGCAAAAGGTAATTTATAACCAATCCTCCCACTTAAAACTATTGTACTGTCCCCACCGTCACATGTTCAAAATTTAGATGCTTGGCAACTGGCACATATTTGTGGAATCATGTCACCATTTGCAACCTTCCCATGGGGTTTCCAACAAGCATAGCCAATGGAGGAAGCTGGGTTCACTTAACATGATTTGATTCACTTCGTGACCACATCAAAAAAGGTTGTAAAATTTGATGCAATTCACTAAGCATTGCTTAGTGACAGGTGTTCTGGTCCCAATTGTGGTTGTAAATAGAGGATTACCTGCATTGGCCTATACTCCAAAACTTTATGGGGGCAAGACAAAAACTAAATTTGTTAACTTAATGAATTATTAATTGTAGCTAACAGTGTTACTGATGTTGTCATGTACTTTTATATTCTGTCAGACTAAAAGATACAATTATTAGCAGCAAAAAGTTTGATGAGGACAGGCTGTATCTTCAATATCAAGGTTTAAAATATTTATTGGTTACTTATTCACCAGTATGCTGAAGGAGGACGAGGTTGTGATTTTGTAGCAGAATGGGTTGAATTAAATAGTCAAGAAAAATGAGATTTAAATGGGGATTTTAAATGCCATTTGATGATCTTATCTTCTTGTTTGCAGGACGCCAGTTATTGAGATTCCAAGAAGATCTCATATCTTCAGCTGTAGCAGAATTAAATTACGGATTATGCTTAATGTCTCGTGAAGCTCGCAATAATGAAGGCGAGCCCTATGATCCAGATGTTCTTTACTATATCTTTCTGTGCATTCAAAAGGTGTGCCATCATGGAAAGACTTGCTACAAATAGTTTTAATACCACAAATAGTTTTAGGCATGTTTTGAGTGAAAATACTAAGGCTTAAAATTACACAAAAGCAATAAAACCAATATATACCATGATACTATACTATATTTTCTAAAAAAAAATAATACAATTATAAAATCCTTACCTAACTATCATCTAACTCTGCTAGTAAGGTTTACAGAAAAAAACTCCCTTAATATTATTTTTATTAAGTTTAAGACTTCAAATCTTTCCTGAATGACTCCAATGATGTGTGGGGCTGAAGGGGAGGGGTGGGGGGAGAGAAAGAATTCCATAATCCAGGTTTTGAAATGCATGCAAATAAAATAAGCAAATTGTGAAAAAGAAATTGAAACTTTAACTGAAACTTTAACTTTAGCTGGATGTATGCCTTATAAAGAAGCATTTTACTGATATATTCTGATATTTAAACATACCTAGGTTTTAGAAGCGAATTAGTATTTGTTATACCAGAATTTAGGTTCTACTGAAATTTTATGTCAGTATTTTAAAACTTGTTCTTCTGTACTTTTATAGTTAAGAGGGTATTGGTATTTCAAACGGTGTACAGAGAAACACCGAAAATATTGCAAAATCGCTAACCATGTATTGTATGATTTACTTAACCACCCGATTCATTTAATGACCATGGTAAAAATGGTTGTAAATCAGGTCAGCTCATATGACTCGCTTTACTGATTTGTGATAGAAATTTGATTCTCAGTTGTGGTTTTAAGTTGAGGACAGTCCCTGTATATTTGAATGAATACCAAATGTTGGCAATTTTCATTACTGCAACTGTTGGCTTTAATCGCTGTGAATGTAATTTTGGAAATTTAGCTGAATAGGGTATTAGCCCTGTTTAATTCAAGCTTGAGACAAGTAATGTCTGAGACTTGCAGGCTGCTTGGATGAATAATACTCTTGATTTCATATGGTAGAAATCTTTTTTTAGATTTTCAAAGCCCTGTTTAAAATTATATTAAACATAAATTTTTTGGATGTCTGAGGAAAGTAGGGGATATGTATTTGTTGAGTCCATTTTTCTGAAATTAACTTATTTGAATCTGAACTGAAATGCTTTCACTTAAAGGTACTTCAGACTGGTAGGGATTTTGAATATAAAATTAAACATAAAGCCCGTCATTTCATTAATGAACATTATGGTAAGTTTTTTCCCCCTCTCCCTTGTGTTATTGTTTCTTGCAGTACTTATTTGAAAATGGGCGAGTTGATGACATTTTCTCAGATCTCTATTACATACGGTTCACTGAATGGTTACACGAAGTTCTCAAGGATGTGCAGCCTAGGATCACTTCTTTGGGTAAGAGAATCTTCAAACAGATAGTTGAGAGAAGTATATAAATATTTAACAATAACTAAACGATTGGTTGAATTTGCTATCACAAATCAAATGTTTTTGTTTTGAAATTTTATTTTTTGCTCTGTTAACATTACAATATTGAGAAATGCATTGTGTGTCTCTTTTCTTAGGAGGAGCGTCAGTTTGGTATCTCTGTATTGATGCTTTCTTTTTATCTGCACAGGATATGTTCTTCCCAGCCATGTGACAGAAGAGATGTTATGGGAGTGTAAACAGCTGGGAGCTCACTCTCCTGCTACCTTGTTAACCACTCTCATGTTTTTTAATACAAAGTATGTACCAAAGGAAGCATTACTTAAATAAAACCATTCCAATTATTTTAGAATAGGCAGAATCCTATTTTCCCCCAAGAATTTTGAATTAATAAGAGCAAATCAAACTTCCAGCAGAATATGGAAGAGTTACCTTGTAGGGGGGATGTGTGACATAAATTTTTAATAAATAAGCAAGCAAAGAGACTAAACTTAAATCTAAAGCTGGTTTAGTACAATTACAAAGAAATTATGGACCAGTAATTTTCTAGTTCAAATTCTGCTTCGTCATAAACCATATGTGGTTTTAAGGAAATCCTCTGTCTGCAGGATGATCAGCCTGTAGTCAGTAGACTTAAGAAATGGAAGTTTGCTCTTTATGGCAAGTGGCTTCACATGTTTCAGAAATGTTGACTGCAGTCCAGCATTCTGTTTTCTGAAAAGGCCATCCTAATCCTTTAAGAATATTTTTTTCTGTAGTGTTTTTATATCATTTGAAGGGGACTTTATTCTTTATTTTGAACATAGATCGTTCCCCTAATTGTTGAAGCAAATTGCTGTGATAAATGAATATTTTTTGCTGAAAATGATTTATTTAGATACAATAGTATGGGAACAATATTTTGTTTAACCACGTTTTTAACTATATATATGAATGTCCTTGATTATTGAAATCTAGATACTCCATGCCTAGGTCCATAGTCCATAAATGTTTGACCATTGATGGATATGTGGGACATGGTTTTTTTCAGATTTGGGATAGAGAATATAATTTAATGGGCATTTTTCCTGTGTCTGCAGATATTTCCTGTTGAAAACAGTAGATCAACATATGAAACTGGCCTTTTCAAAAGTCTTGAGGCAGACTAAGAAGAACTCTTCTAATCCTAAAGATAAAAGTACAAGCATCCGATATCTAAAAGCTCTTGGCATCCACCAAGCAGGCCAAAAAGGTAGAAAGAATTTCTGAAAAAATGAAAATTTCTAATACTTAGCTATGTTCATTTTTTCAGGTCCACTACATAGACTTTGTGCAATAAATTGAATATAAAGAGTCTTGTAAAGACATGAATGTGATCTGTTGGGAATATGAATATCCCCCTTGCTATATGTGAAATTGCTGCTTTCACTTTAAGTGTTTCTGGTAGTCATTCATCAAGCCTTTCATAACTTACATTTCTCCTACATGCAATGCCTTATTAAGAAGGCTAATTATTTGCAAGAACTCTTTTGGAACATAGTATTTGGCAGTATATGCAACAATGAAGAATAGCAGAGATTACAAAATATTGTTCTTTGTTCCATTAATAACATTGACATCAGTCTGTTCATCTGCTATAAGAAAGTATTTCATGGTTCTGTATCTCTTGGGGTTGATTTGCAGTTACAGATGATATGTATGCAGAGCAGACAGAGAATCCTGAAAACCCGTTGAGGTGTCCTATAAAACTCTATGACTTCTACCTCTTCAAATGGTGAGTTTTCCCATCACAGTTGTCCATTGTCCATTATCTTCAAGGGCAGATAGTTTGGTACAGATTGTCCTGCAGCAATTAATTAGAACAATTAATCCTGAAGCTGTGAACGCTCCAACACTAGACGTTTTTAAGAAGGGACTGGACGGCCATTTGTCTGAAATGGTCTAAGGTTTCCTGCCTGAGCAGGGGGTTGGACTCTAGATGACCTCCAAGGTCCCTTCCAACTTTATTACTATTATTATTATTGTTGTTGTTACTAATTACTGTTATTTATGATTTATGATTTTCTTGCCAACTTCCTACAAGAAAAGTAAGTGGGGAAGTTGGCAGAAGGTCACAAGTAGCAACCTTCCTTGATATCCTTGCTTAATGACCCACCGCTATTCACTTAATGATGTCAATTGGGAATGTCAGAATTTCCATGGCTAAGCAGTACAGTCACGTGACATCAGACTTACGACTGTGTCACTTAGTTGCAGAAATTCCAGTCCCACTTGTCATTAAGTGAGGACTACTTGCAATCACAGAAATGCTTGATTCATACATTTTACTATGTGGCTGAAGAAAAGTCAGGCAAGGAAAGTATGTATGTTGCCGACCCTGTCAGTTAAAGAATTCCAACTTGCAGAAGGAAGGGAGCCCACCCTCTTGTTGCCCTCACTCCTTGGAACCTTTCCACCTTGTAGGTGAGATGGGTCCCTGGTCTCCTGGCCTTTGGAAAATGCTAAAACTGGAGCTGAGCATTTTTTAAATGTAATGAATAAATAAACAGTCTTTGAACAAGCTGGATATACATTAAAGGCTTGCAAATAGGAATCTAAGCCTGTAATCTAAGTTATTTTCTTGGTTAATTAGTTAATTTCTTAAACTAATTAGTCCAGACTTAATTCAGTACTAAACCATGTGTGGGAAACATCCTGATTTATATAGATCTCTTGCTAATAACATTAACTATTTGGGATCAATTGAACAATATATACTATAGTTTTTTACTTGTCCATCAATTGACACAATCAGGTTTAGTATTGTTTCCAGATAGTCTATTACCCTATTGCAGCTCAAGAATATAATTTTCATCAGGTAAAGGTCTCTCTTTGACCTTGCAGTCTTACTGGCTCTGAGCTGTTGCTGAACAAAGTTGCTGAACATGTTTAAGCAGTTACTTGTAGTAAGGAATGGTTCTTAAGCAAGCTTCATTTGAGAGTCCTGTGAAGTCACCAAGCTAACTGGCAGTCTTCCAGTTACTAAAACGGGATTTCTTGATACATGATACAAAGGAAACATAGGCAATTGACTATATCAAATATGGTGTATATATTCTGTATCCATATTTTTTTCAAATTCTTTTTAAGTGAGTCACCAAAAGGTAGAAGGGGCAAAAAAGAAAAATTAGAGTAAGAAAGGTATAGCACAGTGGTGGCGAACCTATGGCAAGCATGCCAGAGATGGCACGCGGAGCCCTCTCTGGGAACGGGCCATCGCCCCAGCACACGTGGTCTCTAAAAGTTTACCATCACTGGCCTAAGGCCAGCCAGCCTGGAGCCGCCATTGGGGAGCCCACCATCCCACCCGCCAGAGACTCCCTGGATCTCCCCCAACCCTGCCCGGCTCCCACAGGTGTCCCTCCCCATAAGGGACATAAGCAACATCAAGGTGGCCACGCCTACCCCGGCCATGCCCACCCAATCTGCCATGACTACTGCAGCCACACCCATCCAGTTGCCACGCCCAGCCAGTCTGCCAAGCCCACTGTAGCTGCACCCGCCGAGTGGGCCACACCCACCCGGCACCCGGCGATACATAGGTGGGTTTTGGGTTGCAGTTTGGGCACTCGGTCTCTAAAAGGTTTGCCATCACTGGTATAGCATATGCTTAAAGTTTCCATTGATAAGAAACTATTGAATGCCAAGCTTTATGCTAAAATATGCCTGAAAGTCCTTTTTAGTGTTTCGTTAATCAGACATTTGACATTATTCCTATTTTATTCTAATTACAGATTATCTTAATCTGATTTCATTATCTACAACAGACCAGATTAATTTGCGCTTTTCAGATTTCATTTTGCCTATTAATTTCATGAAGAGGAAGAGGAAACAGCCTTTGCTCCTAAAATAGTGTTAATAGCATTTCCAAAGCAAACACTAACATGTTTTTTTTTTTTTCTCTTTGTAGCCCGCAAAGTGTGAAAGGCAGAAATGATACATTCTATTTGACTCCTGAACCAGTGGTGGCTCCCAATAGCCCCATCTGGTATTCCATCCAGCCAATCAGTCGAGAGCAAATGGAGCAAATGCTTACCCGGATTCTGGTGATACGAGAAATTCAAGAAGCTATTGCGGTGGCCAATGTTAGCACCATGCACTAAAGGCATCCCTCCCAGTTCAGAAAAAGGGTGCAGGGTGGAACTGGGTGGGGTGACAGCGAGGCCAGGATCAATTGTACAGCCTTTTACACTAAAGGAGATGCCTAAGGTTTTTTTTTTTTTAATTGGTGTAGTTAAGAAGCCCTTTTAGGCTTCTTCTGGTTAATAAGAGACCCTTTCCATTGTGTATCTGACCCTTTTGCATCAGCTTTCTGGACACATTGAAGGCTGCATTCTTTCTTTAGGAGCTCTGAAGTTCCGTAGGTTGACTTTGGGATTTTTTATGATGTGAAAAAAACAAATTTAATTGGTGGACTTGGCCTGGGTGGGCCACTACATTCAAGCTCATGAACTTGGAAGCAGAAAACAGTGGACCTAAAGAAAAAGGTGGTTTGCAGTTTCCTTGTGCTTGGACACTAATATGTCCTAGAGGGGGATGTCCTGCAATTATGATTTATAAGGAGAAGAAAATCAATTTCTATTAAGACCTTAAAAGTGACATTTTTAGATGTTAAGTACAAACTACAACACTTGCTTCTCTTTTTTTCCTCTCTCTCTCTCTCTCTCTTTCTCTCTCTCTCTCTTTTGTTTGGCCTGATGTTGAGGCCTTAAATCCTTGAGGCTCCTGTGCCTAATGGAATTCTTGTAACATACACTTGTGTATCATATAAAGATACCACCCTGTTTCTCTTATGTATTCTTATGCTAGTTGTTTATTAAGAATGACAAGCACGTCTTTTGAACATGCTGTTGAACAATGTGTCTTTATTGGGGGAGCAAAAGACATAATTAGTAACATACAGAATGTCTTAACTATTCCTCTACAAATTTGCTAGCCTATTTAAAGAAGGGTTATTTTTTTTTCCTGGTTACCTGATTCTATGGGATTCGTGCAAGGAATTGTTTATTAGCATACTAACCTGTTGCTTTTGTTGTAATTTTTAATTAAATGAATTTGGAATTGGGGTAGCAGGTATTTGAGGCCAGGACTTTTCTTTTTAATTTTTTTCAGGTAACCTACTTGCCTGAAAGTCTGAGACTTACTGCAGATGTTTATTAGTACTGGGATTTAGAGAGCATAGAATCCCTTTCTTCTTGAACATAGCATTATCATAACTTTATGACAACTGATTTTAATCCATCAGAATTTAAGAACATTCCCTCATCATTATCTCAGCTGGCAGCAGTTGTGTGTAACATTGATTGTAGAAAGAGGAAAAGCAAAAACATCCAGTCCTTATAGTTTTCTAAATTATATTTTTGCATCCGTTTGACCTCTGTTTTGTTTGAACCGATAGGTTTTTTTTTTTTTTTTTTTTGGTTTAAGAACTGAACCATAGGAACTATGTTGTGCTGGGACCAAGCCCAGTATTTTGCTTTTTTTGCATTACTTATTATATTTTGGCCATTGTCTACTTAAAGATATTGTGATGATGACTTCAGATTTTCCACCATATTTTCACCAGTTAGAATTTAAAACTGGTGTGATTGTTCAGTTCAGCATTAACGTTACACGTTTTTTTTTCCTTTCTCATAAAGCAGCTGGATTGAAATTAGAATCAAAGTCTGTGTAATTCTGCATTGGTTTTCTGAAGAATACATTTTTCTGCATTTAAGCCTACTATTACAGCAATATTATAGAAGAGGGCAAGTAACTTAAGATATGTATGAAAAATTACCTGATGCCTTCCTGAAAACTGCATGAGAAAAAGTGCAATTTGTTTTTTTTTGTTTTGTTTTTTTTTTAAAAAAAAAGCTATGATCAGTACATGTCATCCTTATTCAGGAAGAAAAGTAGCTCTGCATAAAAAGAAAGGAGCAGAATTGCAGGAAAAGTGGTGCTCTCCCTCAGGCAAGGAAATGTAACACTGCTCCAGATAACAATCCACAACTGTGTTCCAAATAGGTACTTGGGTATTCCTTACATGAGTGTGTGTGTATGCACAGACATATGCCTACCTATTATACAATCATGTGAAAAAAATAAGTACACCCCATATAAAGTTTTTTCTTTTTTAACATTTGTGGGCATACCAGTGTTTTATCTTCATTCAAACAATACGTAAAGAGAAATTGTGATGTAATTGAACAAAAAAATGAAAAATTGACTTTATTAATTAAATTTATATAGCAGCGTACCTCACAGAAAGTGGGCAGCGTAGAACGATCCAGTGAAACAAGGATGGCAAAAGCTGGCAATTATTTAAATAACACATGCCGTTTCTTTCTGGAGGGTGAACCCAACAGCCTTGGTTCTTATCCCACGTATTGCCTCCTTTGGCAGAAACACCCTCAAATGTTTCTTACAACCATTTCCCAGTTTCTGACATCCACTGAGAGTAATTTTTTCCCACTCTTTCGTGGAGATTTTTTTTTTCAGCTATGTAATGCTTGAGGAATTTCTTGCATACATAGCCCGTTCTAAAATCACTTGACAGCATTTTGATGGGATTTAGATCCCAGATTTGAGTTGACCATTCTAGAACACTCAATTTATTTTTTCAGCCATTCCTTGGTTAATTTACTGGAATGTTTAGAGTTGTCATGTTGTGAGGTCCACTTTCTGTTCAGCATTTTTTCTCACAGATGGCCTCACATTATCCTTAAGCACTGTCTAGTACAACGAAGAACACATAGTAGTTTCTGTGATGATGGGTTTATCCAGGCTGTTAATGCAGCAAGGCAGCCCAAACCATGACATTTCCACCAACGTGGTTTATAGTTGGTATCAGGTTCTTTAATTTTTATAAAATACGTCTTTTGATCCTGTTGCCAAATGACCCCTATCATTGCCTTATCTATCCAAAGCACATTGTACCAGAGGTCTTGGACTTTGCCTAAGTGTTCAAAAGTTTCATCCTGGTACACCCCCTCATGTAGATCTAATTTGTGCAACTGCTTTGTAACAGTAGGCTCACACACTTCAACATCTTGCATTCTGCTCTTGGGTTGAGTTTAATGGGGTAGCCTGGCCTGGCAAGTTAGCAGTTCTTTGAAATCTTCTTTACTTGTAGATGATCTTGCAGGCAATGGAATAATTGGTGTCTGTTTGGCAATTTTTAAAAATCTCTTCCCATGCTCTAAGGCATTTCTTACCTTTCTGAAGGCCTCAAGAGAGCTTTTTCAATTAGACACAGTAGCAGTACACACTTTAACAACAAAGAGCAAATCAAAGTACAATTCTGAAATAGCTATACAGTAGTTGGATACTTTCAATAAGGCAGGTTCCAACCAGATTCTCTCTTAAGATGCTCTAATCATTTGCACCTGATTTAGTGCACCTGATTCTCGTTTTAGATATTTGAATAGTGATAAATATAGGGATGTATTTGCTTTTCTATATATGAAATTTGAATTTGTTTATAGGTAGTCCTTGACTTATTGCAGTTGGCACCAGAATTTGTTACTAAGCAGGGCAGCTGCTAAATGAATTGCACCTGATTTTACGATCTTTTTTGTGACAGTTAAGTTAATCACATGGTAATTAAGTGAATCCAATTTCCCCCATTGACTTTGCTTTTTGGAAGCAAACTGGGAAGGTTGCAAATGGTGATCACACGACCCTGGGATGCTACAACCATCATAAATACTTTCCAGGCACGTAAATTATGATCATGTGACCATAGGGATGCTGCAGTGGTTGTGTGAGGGCCAGTTTTAAGTCACTTTTTTTTCCCAGTGCCATTGTAACTTTGAATAGTCACTAAATGAATTATTGTAAGTCGGGGATTCCTTACAGTTAAATTACACAATGGATTACAAAATGTAAATGGTTATGTTAACATATCCTCTAACAATATTGTTGAAATGAAGACCAGCTATATGTTGAAAAATATTTTAATAGGTGTGCACTTTTTTACATGTCCATACATGCAACTTAACATAAAAATATAAGGAATATACAGTATATGTATCATACATGGTCAGCCTTGGTATCAATGCCATTTCTATGTTTAAGTAGATTTAATATTTTAAGTTACTCAAAAAATGTCCTCCCAGCTCTTTTGTAAATTATGAAAGTTTGCCTAAGTTCTCTTTTTAAGATATAAAATATGAGGGATCTAAGTACTTTGAGTCATACAGAATATCCCTTACTTCTAAGGCATGGGTGTCAAACTTGCCATGTCACGTGACGGCTGTTTGACACCCCTGTTCTAAGGCAATGGTTGTTAAACATTTGACCCAATTTCTCTTTTTCCTAGGGGGGGATAATGTCATCTCTGCAAAAACTGTTCTGCACAAGTATTTTGGCAGCAGCCATCCTAAATGGGAATGTTCAACTTACATACACACAATTAGAAACAGCTCTTATCACTTTCAGTTTAACAACCACTGTTCTAAGGCCTTAAAAGTATTCTTGTTTCTCTCCCATAAATGTCACTGGCCAGAAAGGTTGCGTTTTGAAAGGCAAATTGAACTTTCACCACAGACTACTTATGTAGTTTATTTAACAGAATTTCATGTATTCTAGCATTTCTCATGCAAAATTTTTCAAAGTGAATAACTTGTTTCGTAGGGAAGTATATGTGAAGAGTAGATTCTTTCCATTTATGGAATGAAATATGAATCTAATTTTAGACCACATTCAGGTGCAGATGTACCAGTTTGGAAAGTTGAAGGAAATGTGTAGCTGTTTTTAAGATACAAATGTTTGAATCTGGATTGACTACACAGTCCTAATACTAAGTTTACATCCTGGTGCTCATCTGGCAATGCGTAACTGGTCGGAGAATTAAAAAAACAAAACAGAGGAACAATATAAATTTTCATCAACAAATAAATAGCTTAGGAAGCAGCTTTTGAAACAGTTCGAGATCTTGTAAGTGCATTGTCTATATATCAAGTTTGAACTGAGACACTCTGGCTTATCAAAATGTTGATAAGGGTAAGCATTTTAATCAGCTATAAAGCTGAAGTGGTGGCTTGATTTTCCCTTTCAACTGAAAGTAGTCCAGGGTTACGATCTTTTTTAAAGGACTGCAGTAAAGTTAACAAGGGAGTTGAAGTCCACGAGTCATAAAAGAGCCAAGGTTGACTACCCCTGGTGTATATGATTCGCTCCCCCCCCCCCTGGCGATGGTATCGTCTCCAAAACTTTACGATCCCGTTCAACGGGTCGGGTGTAATCAACACACTTAAGGCTGGTTTACGGTATAGTTTCCGTCTCCCTCATTTAGAGTGCGGTAGGTTTGACTCGGAGGCCCCCTTCTGGCTGTAAATGAGGGAGACGGAAACTATACCGTAAACCAGCCTTAAGTGTGTTGATTACACCCGACCCGTTGAACGGGATCGTAAAGTTTTGGAGACGATACCATCGCCAGGAGGGGAGGGGGAGCGAATCATATACACCAGGGGTAGTCAACCTTGGCT